AAGAACTCGGATAGATTACCATGCTGGATAACACAAGATGTTGTTTCATAGGTTAATATATTTATCCATCTTATCATTTCAGGGCCAAATTCAAGTTTATGCAAAACCAGGTTGATAAAATCTTTTGAAACAGTGTCAAAGGTTATACTACACTAAATGAGTAACTTGCTATTAGGTTATACTACACTAAATGAGAATCGCTTGCTCACTGAGCGAGATGCGTATGTAAACAAATGAAGAGATAAAGACATGTGACAGCTGTGATTGGATGAAATAGTGTAAGATGTTTATGTTTTTAAAAGCATATCCAACCAGTAATTAAAACTGACCACAATTTTAAGTATTCAGTGCTGTGATTTCCATCACCATGACTTATGCTTATTGTGTGTACAGATATTTTCCAGTAGGTGACATTTGGTGCGGATCTGGGGTTGATGTGTTCCGCTTCCTGTGCTCGCAAAACAGAGCCGGACAAGTTGGCCAGATAGTGTGTTTTATGGTAGTTTAAAGGCCAGAGTGTACCCATGTGCACATGGAATGGCTGTTGATAGCCTGGATTATTTTTTAAAAAAAAATATAAGGCTACTATAGAAGTCTATGGGAAAACATTTGGTGTTGTGTAACCTGTAGGGTTCGAGCACTTTTCAGTAATTCATACTTTACATGATTTCCTGTGTTTATTTCACCATGGAAACATGTTAGCATTAATGTAGAGGCAAATTTAAAGGTACTGGGAGTAAAGATAGGGCTGTTTTGAGTGGAATAGATTGTTTTAGTGTCCAGAATATGAACGTTGCTTCGTTTTGTGGTCGAACAGTGGGAAAAGACCCTCACGGTGAGTCTTACCATCAAGTAGTGGTTCCCTGGCTTCTAAATTTGTTGGAACTGATGAATTTGACAACAAATTAGGTTAAAATCACCACTGCCACAACAATGTGAGTGTCTAAGTTAATCTCCTGAGGGTCAATTTGAAGTCAAATGATAAGAATATCATGAAATTTGTTCACTGCTGACAGCAGAACATGTCACAAACCCTTGTTTTAAATGCAAACAGTGTAGCATATGATCAATTCTTTCTGCCTGTCCCCTTTTGAATATGCAACGACCTAATTTTCTTTTCCTTTTTTAAAAATATACCCCTTTTTTCACCCATAGGACTTTCAAAATGAATTTCTGTTTTATTAACAACTGTCTCATTGCTGTTATAGATTTTATGATTTGACATTTAATGTAATCTCAACACTATTTTCAGCTTGTAGAATGCCTGTTGGTGAATGGGGAGGTGTATCTTCACAAATACAGCAGAAAAAGAAGCCTTCACATCCAATGTGGTATTTCGACATGCCGGCCGAAGTCTGTTGTTGGCAGTGTCTAATCAAGCATACTCCCTTTGCTTCGATATGCTTCACCGCCTTGTAGAAGTTGCAGTACTTGGACATGTAGGTACATATAGTACATTTAAGTGTCCCAGTCCAGTTAAGGCACCAAAATGTCTCACTACCAAATTCCATCACTCGGTCATCCTCATACATTAGAAATTTCTGACAGTGTCCCCTTAATGCCTCAGTGTGTAGTATTTCAGCTTCCCAGACATGAAATAAGGGCTGTACATCAATCCCAGAAGCTGCTTAGATGTAAATAATAACAACTGACCCTTGTGGAATGTAATATTATGGGTCTGAATTCACATTTTATTGACATGAGAGTGTTCGATATCTTAAAATTATCTCCCCTGTTTACCCAAATACATTGTGTCTTTCTCTAACCCAGTAACCCATAAATTACTGCAGAGAAGCTCTGTTTTTAGCTGATATTGTCAAATACTGTTAATTGTAATTAAAAATATTCAGTTTAGGGCAGGGTAACCAATAAATTTCCAAAGTTATGTGGATTTTTCACTTTGTTCCCTCTAAACTGGCTTATACATGAAATTGGCAAGTGTAACAGCCTCAAAACAATACACAGTCAATAGTTTTGAATTTCTGGAAGTATTTCAAAGTCTTAGCTTGATGAATCAATAGATTCAAATGTAAGTTCTTATCATGCTGTGGTCTAAAAGTGATTTCATCTGTTGAAAGGGTCATTTGCCTTGATCGACTAACAGGCGGCAGGGGTACTGTGGTCAGTGTTTCAGACTGCTAGGCATAATCCAACCCCTCACTTATTACATTCTGGCAAAGTTCATCATCCAGCCTTACATATGTCAGGATGTTAAAGCTGCTTAATGTTAAACCTGTCCAATTTCTGGCCTGAATTCAATGATTTTTGTCGTTCAAAATATAGTTTGGATTGATATGATCAAGGCAGTCCCAGTCATGCATGGAATTAACCCATGGCCCCCCTTTTTTGTGAAATAAGAGTAAACTCCCATGGTATATGTATGATTTAAAACTTTCTCTATTAATGCAGAAGTGCATTTTGTATAGCTTTGGTGAAATAGACATGATATAACTCTTACAGCTCTGTCAGTGCAGCAAATCCATATATTCTTGTGCCATATAGATATGTTGGACAGGAAAAAGTATTGAAGCTTCATGCAGTTTTATATTTTTTTCTGAGAAGTTACATGTATATACAGTACATAAGTCACAGATTTGCCTAGGGCAAATGTTTCTAAATTTTCCTACAGGTTATACTACACTAAATGAGAATCGCTTGCTCACTGAGCGAGATGCGTATGTAAACAAATGAAGAGATAAAGACATGTGACAGCTGTGATTGGATGAAATAGTGTAAGATGTTTATGTTTTTAAAAGCATATCCAACCAGTAATTAAAACTGACCACAATTTTAAGTATTCAGTGCTGTGATTTCCATCACCATGACTTATGCTTATTGTGTGTACAGATATTTTCCAGTAGGTGACATTTGGTGCGGATCTGGGGTTGATGTGTTCCGCTTCCTGTGCTCATAAAACGAGCCGGACAAGTTGGCCAGATAGTGTGTTTTATGGTAGTTTAAAGGCCAGAGTGTACCCATGTGCACATGGAATGGCTGTTGATAGCCTGGATTATTTTAAAAAATATAAAAATATATAGGCTACTATGGGAAGTCTATGTTGGAAAACATTTGGTGTTAAAGTTGGAGTTTTAATATCCTTGAAACACGTTGTAAAGACAGAAACACATATATAGTCAGTTTCTGTATACTTTAGAGCTGATTTGAAGTTTGTGTTGCCAGTGCTGATCTGAGATATAGGGGAAGACTGTTCCAGAGGTGGGGAGCTGCGGAAGAGAAAACTCTGTCACACTACAATATGTTACCGCTCTCCAATGCTTAGTGCCATTCCACTTAAATGCTAGAATGGACATTGCTGTCCTTAATGTAGAAAAAATGTTTATGCTGTTTGTGGTGACAATACCTTTACACGGACGTAACAGAAGGCAATAATGTAATTTCCCTCTTGGTCACCATACATATCCCTATGTAACCGTTGTCAAACCTGACCAGAAACTACTGTATATGTTGCAGATAGGCATACATCCCAGGCTGTCATTCTTGTACTATATGTTGCCTCTGCTGTGCTATTTATGCCTTTATAACCATGTAATTTCGTACTTTGAAGTTTACACAGGTTCCCGACATGTTGGTGGGCTGAGAGAGCGGTCATGTGATCTAAATTTCAAGGTTCATTTCCCTTGAACCCTTCAAATCGTTCATAAACATCGTTCTAATGTGTGAACTTTTCGAGCCGATCTTGGTCATGTGAACTTTCGCCGGAACTACTTTCCGTTTTTTTCCCCAGGATACTCGCTGTCCAGCTTGACGTAAACAAAATAAATCATTTGCATTCATACTCCTTTTAATTTATACATATCACTTAATTGTTTTTGTATGTAACAAAAAGCACCAACTGAGCACAGCTTTGCAAAAATCTGACCGACAACGCGTCCGACAGCAAGTCCGACAACAAGTCCCAGCCAGTGCGACCTAATTTTCAAATTTCCGGAACCCCAATGATCTTGCTGTATCTCGTGATGACAATTTAGCGAGCGATCCTGTTTCAAGTCACCCAAATTTTGGCAATGTCGCTTCTTCACGACCAAACGGATTTCCAATTGCCGAGCATTGTTCCTTATCACAAGAGTTTAATCTCTCGCGGTTTGCGGGTTATGCCCCGTGATCTGTTTAAAACCGCTCATTAAATTTCACAATAAACAATCACAAATAAATAGAATACACCAACTGCTTCCTATTAAACGCTGCACAACTTCGAAGTCGGTCAGTGTATTATTACGCGGTCAAACGAATCCGTCATAGTTTTATAGGTACAATCACAGTTTGTTAAACTGATATTGTTATTGATATTTGTTTCTGCTTGATAATTTTATTGATGTTATGCATATTAAAGCAGTTTCAAACCTATTGACGAATTTGTTGTAATATATTAAGGAATACTTTTTAGAAATATTTCTTCAAGGGTTGGGATACATGTGTAAAAAAAATCGCCAAGTATACAAACATCCGCTACAATACGGTCTTGAACAGAATGGCATTACAACATATTACAGGTATTAAAACACATCACTGTAAACAATGATCATGTAGAAGTGGGTGGAAAAAACGTATGTGTAAACATCAAAGTGCGAAATTATAGGAATTGAATGTCTTTATAGGAACTGTGAACGATGTTTGTGCATTGTTCAAACTCTCGAAATGAACAACGCCTTGACATCGTTCATGTCAAAGCGTTGTTCAAAATCTCATAAAGTGTATAAGACGTGAGAAAAATATTTCTATTCGAAATGCATGACTCATGGAAATGACATTCTTAATCTTAAAGTGAGTGAGTATGGTTTTCGCCTAATCTTAAAGAAGCAACTACGTCAATGTATATTTTGTGATGCACTTGACGTTGACATCAGTCAGTAATGACTGCCAAACGTTTGCTAGCACGGCAGTGTGTCTGTATATCTTGACGTGTGAATTCTACAGAAATATCACAGTCCTTCGTACGTAATATATCTCTTTGTTTCCTAAACCAAATGTGTAAATTTCAGCTGACAGTCCAAACAACGCTGCAGTGATTGTGGGTGTAGTCTGTGGGATTGTTATTGTGGCTCTCCTGGTCGCCTTTGCGGCATATGTATTCTACACGTAAGTATTTGTCTGCTTACAGTAAATGGCAGTTCTTCAAAAATGACATGATAACACTTTCTGCAAGCAGCGCTGATAGCAACGTTACAGACACATAATATAGTTACTACTGCAAGTATAACTAGGTGCTGCCAATGGCAACATTCTAACTAAATGTACCTTCACGGACATGGAAGTAGTGATTGGATGCATGAGCAAGATAATCTGTTTAATCTCACCATCCGGTCCCCTATTTTTGAGAATCCTTGACAAACAGCGTGGCATAAGGACATACATTGCGCTTTGAAAATTTCGGAAGAAAAGTTTTAGATCACAGACACGGTCCTAGTCCTGATCTAGTCCTGTCCATGTAACACGCTTCAGTTGTTGAGGATTACACTCACACATGACTAGATATATGGCACTATATTGCGGTACTCGACAACATTATACTATTTGGCGGCGATCTGGAAAAATCATGGATCAGACAATCCAGTCATCAACAGCAAGGACATCGAACTATGCAACTGGGATACGATGACATGTGTCAACCAAGTCAGCGAACCTGACCACTCGATTCTGTTAGTGGTGTCTTACGGCAAGCAAGAAGACCAAATCTATCCTGGACCTTCACGAGTCTGTGGACCCCATACACGTGTCCAATGGTTTCGCTTTCTCGGTAAGCGTCTTCATGCGTAACGCAGGACTTCATAACACATCAACAGTGTTTGTTGTTTGACGGCGTTCTGAGCAATATTGCATCGAAACGACTCATTATCCTAAATAAATCATCATGTCTTGCCCAACAAGGAAGATGCAGACTGGGTATTTTTAAGAATATGTGCTGTTTGGATGTATTTTCAGATTGACGTAAGGCTAACTATGGTCATTACAATGTGTTTCAATATATTATTGTAGCCGGAGGAAGATGAAGCCAGTTGCAGAACAAGGAGCTGATGCTCCTTCAATCTCCAGGAACATCTACGTGGAGCCTGATATTGTCGCTGGAGGTGCAGCAGGTGAAGACACGTGCATGGAGACTTACATTAACTCCACACCTTGCGACATCAATATCAACGACATTTCTGCCCAATATTTCAATTTCGAATGTTAATCCAAGTAAACATGAATCAGAAGTTTTAGGAAAACATTCTGAGACATTATCGTGTCGTATTGTAAATTCGTACATATTCGAACACTTTGAAAATTCATGTTGTACTTAATTGTCGGCGTGATTATGGTTCATTATACCCAAAATACCTAAAAATATCTTAAATAACAAGCACGTGAACATTCAGAGAATATGTGTAACTGCTGATGTGTATATATATATATCAGAATACAAACAGATATGATTTATCACATGCACAGCCAAATGACTGTAGTATACAGATGTTAAACCCAGAGATTTGCTAAACAGAATCAACTACGTTTTGAGCGAAGCATAAAACATCGCACTGGATATTAGATTTACTTTCTTCACTTACATATCTGTTATATATGAATTTGTTTAGACTAAAAAACATCGTTGTTTTCTGAAAAGCTTAAAATACAGGAAGAATCATTTACCATGCCCCTCCTCTGTATATCTTTTTCAGGTGTGGTAGTATATATTGACACAGTTTTCCAATTCACTCCATAGATTGTACTCGTGTGTCAGGGCGTTTGCATCCTTATTACAAATACATGTGGTGGTTCCTACCTTTAGGGTAAACATGCTTACCCTTTTAGAGTCATTGCTTATCCTCGTAATCTTTGTATTTTTTAACTGCTATTTTGCATTTTCATACACAATCGAGTCCATAACGTCAGATAACCGAGACTGGTTCTAATCTGAATTTGTCTATGTCTTGTTAATAGAGACGTTTATAATGGAAGTTCAGATTATCAACTTAAGATTGTTAGAGGCTGTATCCTCAAAGGGGGGTTGTAGAACAGTAAAATTATTGTCCTCCTGAGAGGGTACGTAAGTCCCCAACTTTCAAGGTCAATTTCGCTCTACCGAACTTTTAATCATAGCATCTTCGTTGTATTAAACTATGGCTTAACTTTCCTACAATGGCCAGCGGCTGAAGGGATGGTGTAAATCCAACTAAGGTTCATGCAGGTAGCAAAAGTAATGCAAGTCCCCATGGACCCTAGTGTGGTGATCTACCTTCAGTTGTTGGCGATAAATAGCCCATTTGTACATTGTATTGTCAGAAATAGTTGTTTAAAGATATATGGTAGCTAGTTTTACCTAAGTTTGTGATACTCTAGTAATTTTACTGTCCATCGATGGCAGGGTTTTATTTATTATGTATTTTTTTTTTTAACTCTCTCACTAGTTTTAGTCACGATATGGCTGCAATTTTGCCTCTGTGACTTTAAATCTTAACTCACTCACTCTAATCTGAATTTGACGTTGTGTATCTATCTATGTGAATGAATAGGGTAAAACGAGAGTATGTGAGTAGAGATTTAACTCATTTGTTTTCTATTTCTTATGAAGTTTATTTGTCGTTTTGTTTTTCTTACAAATATATTGTTTATTGTTCCGTTTATTAAGTACACAGATGTATATGCTATTGGAAGTTTCAAATGTATTTATATTGTGTTCATAGTTAACAAATGATTGAACATGCTGTATTATTCAATGTACATATGATAAATTTTGTCAAAACGAGAGCATGTGAGTAGAGTTTTGATACATTTTAGTTTTCTATTTCTTGTGAATTTTATTTGTCGTTATGTTTTTCTTACAAATATATTGTTTATTGTTCCTTTTATTAAGTACACAGATGCATATGTTTCAAATGTATTTCATATACTGTTCATAGTTGATAAATGATTGAACATACTGTATTATTCTGAATGGTCAATGTACATATGATTAAGTTTGTCAATATCAACAGATTATACAGGAGATTTATACAGACCTTTTCAGACTGTACAAAAGGTGTTCCTCAAAATAAAAAATTAACATCCATAAATTGTTTTCTTTATGTGCATCACTGCCAAATGCCGTTGAAAGATTTTATGTTTTTTTATTGTTCCATTTATTAAGTTTGGTTTGGTTTGGTTGTTGTTCAACGCCGTAGCTATATGACGGCGATCTGTTAATAATCTAGTCTTGGCCAAACTATCCAGTGATCAACAGCATGAGCATCGATCTACGCAAATGGGATCTGATGACATGACTCATCTGGAATATTTATGCATAGTTGCAATGGACATATTTATGAGATCCTTTTAAAATGAGTCAATATGATATGGTCATCTACACATCCGACGGCTTTTTTGACAGTTCATATAGAACCTGGAATCGCAAGGTTAGAGTTGATGATGTCGGCAGCGTTGGAATGTGATCACTCCCAAGTACTGTCAAGTACTGTCGAATTACAATCACTCGAAAGTGAAGCATATTGCAACCTTAATTCACCACATGTCAATTTTCCGTTTGTGTTTTCTGCAAATGAATCAAAATACCTTAATCCGCAAAGAAAGCACATACCTAAATCCATGTATTTGTTTCCGAACGCATAAACAATATTTTGAAGAACAACATGCTTGAGAATAAATAAAACCAAAAGGAACATATCACATATTTTTCTCTAGTAAAGGCCACGTAAACATGTTAACACTGTTCAAATACTTACCCTTGATACAGAAACGATACCAAAATGGATGTAAGTAAACGGCAAAACAAAACCTTTCACCTTCCAGTAATTATGAATATTTCAAATCCTTGTGAACCTGAACGAGTGTTCGTGTGTTCACAAATGGTTCACATCTGAGATCAGCTTCACTTGGATCTTTCCTCTCGCATGAAGCCGACATGGGGTAATATAACAGTTTTATTGTTAGAAGTGGCGTTAAAATCACTCACGCACTCGCGTAATACACCTTAGAACCGTTGGAAATATGCTTTGTGATCACAATGGGAAGATTTTCCATCACAAGGGATGAATATTTCAGCGTTACAGCTATTAAGGATCTTTTTCATAATGTTAATTATCATTTTATTATCGAATTTTTATTATTTATATGAACTGATGGTGAATTTAAAACTTGTTTAAGTCACGATATGGCTGAAATATTGCCGATGTGACTGTAAATTTTAACTCACTCACACAAAAGGGGGAAGTCGTTAGGTTTGTCTTTAAAATGTTTTCAGGACTTTATCAATTTCACACGAAATGGTCACCGAACGTGTTTTTATATATGTTTTATGATATAACCCTGATCGTGCTATCAATTGGTTAGCTGTTTTTGTGTTCAAATGTGTATTTTGAGCCAGTGAAGGTTAGCATTGGTCAACTTTGACCAGAACAGGATGCATTTGCTTACACAAGCAGGATTTCGAAACAACAAACTTAGGATTGACAGACTCAACTGTAGGACGCTTACTGAATCAACCACGTCACACGTTGAACTATATATTGCACAGTGTCATCCCTAATCTTTCAACCATAAAATATAAGCGCCAAAACTATTTTATATCTGTGGAGTCAAAGGTGACCCAGTCCCCTTTACCTGACGCAATTTGCTGTGCTGAGTTTCGTCCCTGTGGAGCGCCAGACACTCGTTATCGTGGGTTGAAATGCTTGTTCCCTGGGATAATGTTTCAAGTGTTCTCAGCTCCTGTCCTGGGAGTGACCCAAACTGGTAAACGCCAGAGACCTACATCACTGCGGGCTTTCCTCAACGTAAATCTGTCATGCAAAGGTATACTTCGAACACTATTACAAGTGGCGTAAAAGGACATCAAACCCTCAAGCCGTGTGAAGACATTTATTGAATGATGCTAACAACGTAATTATTAAAAAAGACAAAATGTTAAAAGGGTAAGGTGTATGCAGGTAGCGATAGGTAGTACAATAAATATTTAGATATCTTCAATGAAACATCACGTCATCAGCAATTTATTACTTTATTGAAATTTACTGAAATCACGTATATAGATGTGTTATATCTCCTACCAAATATCACCTGAAAAGCAACACCGTTATTACGAAAACAACACAATAACTTTTAACAGGAATTCTTAAAATTAAGTAACAACGTAAGGCAATCAAGAGAGATACCCAGTGCAACCAATATAAAGATATAAACATTTGGACATACAACACGATAACTATAACAAAGTTTTTTAAAAAGATGTCAGTGAACAGTGAACTTTACAATCATAAGAAACAACATGTGACAGATACAAACACAATGAGCTACATGAGTGAAATGTTAAATCTCTTCCACTTTCTCTGATAAGTACCCTCATACATTAGGGCATGTGTCGTCGACAGGTTTTAATCTTCAAAATGTTTTCACTTTATATTGTATAAATTGTTTTCGCCACGATATGGCCGAGATATTGCCGATGTGACGTTAAATATGTTAACTCACTCACTCACTCATAAGGGCATGTGACATAATTGTATGCCTATCAAACCCCTCACTAACTCTTGTAAGACTGTCTAATGTTGCTGTGTTGAGTTGAGTTGTGTTTTACGTCACATCGGCACTATTCTAGCCATATAGTGTCGAGATCAAGTGCGAATTAATAAACGTTTTAAGTACACATGAGTTGTTATTCAAAAGCATACATATTATTAACATTGTTATAGGACCAAATTCGAACGCAAGCAGTTCGTTATCCACATTACATAACTACAATTTATGATAAAGGTCAACCTCCCTCAGGTAGTTAACAATGAGATGCCCGCTCACGCGAGAAAACAGATCTTTCAGAAGTCCGCACAATCAAGCAGAATATGTTTGATGGTGAACACTTCACCGCAAGATACACACTTGGGAGGTCCATCCCCATCAGTTTTATGCAGATGGTCATGAGTAAAGCGACTGTGACCAATACGACATCGTCGTAAAATTGCCTCATCTCGTCTTGACTGACAACCCAAGTAGGTATAGCCAATTGTTGGCTTCAAGTCATGAAGTTTATTTCTTCCTACTTGAGTGTCCCACCTTTTTTACATAAGGTCCCGAGTATAACTTTTGATAGTGGGTCTGAAATCACTGTACGGGGTTAGCAGTTGAAATAAGGGCTTATCAAGAGCTGCTTTAGCTGCAGCATCGGCATTTGTGTTACCTGTTATGCCTACGTGACTCGGTAACCAGCAGAGGATGATGTCGCATTGGCCAGTAGAAAGATTGTTGTAAAGTTCCAAAATGTCTAGGATGATAGGGTGACTTGAAGTAACATTTTGAAGTGTTTGAAGGCAAGATAATGAGTCTGTAAACACAATGACGTTTTTAGAACGGTTCTGTTGTTTAATATAGGTCAAAGCTGTGAAGATAGCTTCGGTCTCAGCAGTGAAAATGGAACTATTGTCGGGAATTCTGGAGGAGACACTCTTGGATCCAATGACTGTAGCACTGGTCATCATCTTGGGCCCGTCTTTGAAAATGGATCTATGGGTGTTATACTTGGAACATAACTGGTTGTATTACTGTAGGAACGCCAAAGCATTTTTTAGACTTTTTAAATTTGGAGAAGGTAAGGTCGACCTGTGGTTTCACCATCTGTCACGGTGGCGAAGATAGAAGTCGATAAGGTGCTATGACATCGAGATCAATTTTAGCTGCATATATATGTGGTTCAATTCTGACTCTGAGTGGTGGAACCAGGTTTGGCAAATTAGGAAACAGATTTTCATAGAGAGGGTTGAAAACACAATTGTATGCTGGATTCGACTAATTGGAACGTAATTTAGTTACATACTGCAGTGAAAGTTTAATGCGGCGTTGTTCAAGGGAAGGTTAGTTAGCCTACTGATACAGACTGTCTACCGGAGAGGTCATAAAAGCTCAAAGGCAGAGCCTCAGGCCTTGGTGGTTGCCAGAATCAAGTTTTTTTTCTAAATTGCGTTTGCAGGCTCCATAGCAGCTATTCATAAATATTCCAGACTCCAGTGGAGTCATGTCATGGGATCCCGTTTGCGTGGAACGATGCTCATGCTGTTGATCACTGGATTGTCTGGCCCAGACGAAATTATTTACAGACCGCTGTCATATAGCTACGGCGTTGAAAAATAACCAAACCAAACCAAACCAAACTTAATAAATGGAACAATAAAAAAAATAAAGCGTTTCAATGGTATTTGGAAGTGGTACACATAAAGAGGATAATTTATGGATGTTGTTTTGTTATTTTGAGGAACACCGTTTGTGCAGTCTGAAAAGGTCTGTATGAAAGTGAGTGGGTGAGTGAGTAAAGATTTAACGTCACATCGGCAATATTTCAGCCATATCGTGACGAGAACGTATTTGACATTGAAATGGAATATATGTAGATTCTGTATTAAAGCCCTTGTATAATCTGTTAATATTGACAAACTTAATCATATATACAGTGACCATTCAGAATAGTACAGCATGTTCAATCATTTATTAACTATGAACATAAGATAAAATACATTTGAAACCTCCAATCACATATGCATCTGTGTACTTAATAAACGGAACAATAAACAATATATTTGTAACAAAAATAAAACGACAAATAAAGTTCACAAGAAATAGAACACAAATGAGTTAAATCTCTACTCACATACTCTCGTCTTTCCCGATTCATTCACATAGATAGATACACAACGTCAAATTCAGACTTGAACCAGTCTAGGTTATCTGAAGTTATGGATTCCAGTGTGAACGTGCAAAATAGCAGGATCACTAAAAATAAGCAATGACACCGAAAGGTATGCATGTTTCCCCAATGGTAGCACCCACCACATGTATTTGTAATAAGGATACAAACGCCCTGACACACGAGTACAATCTATGGAATGAATTGTACTCCCGTGTCTATATATACTACCACACCTGAAAAAGATATACAGAGAAGGGGCATGGTAAATGATTCTTCCTGTTCTTTAGGCTTTTCAGAAAACAACGATGTTTTTTTAGTCTAAACAAATTCATATATAACAGATATGTAAGTGAAGAAAGCCATTCTAATATTCTGTGCAATGCTTTATGTTTTGCTCAAACTGTAGCAGATTCTATTTAGTAAATCTCTAGTTTCAACATCGATATACGACAGTCATTTGGATGTGCATGTGATGAATCAAATCTGTTTGTATTCTGATATATATAGCAGTTGCACATATCCTTTGGATGTTCACGTGCTGGTTATTTAAAGTAGTTTGGGTGAAATGAACCATAACCACGCCGGCAAATCAGTACAACATGAATTTTCAAAGTGTTGGAATATGACGATTTTTACAATACGACACGATAATGTCTCAATGTTTTCTTAAAACTTCCGATTCATGCTTAATTTGATTAACATTCGAAATTGACATATTGGCAGTAATGTCGTTGATGTTGATGTCGCAAGGTGTGGAGTTAAATGTAAGTCTCCATGCACGTGTCTTCACCTGCTGCACCTCCAGCGACAATATCAGGCTCCGCGTAGATGTTCCTGGAGATTGAAGGAGCATCAGCTCCTTGTTCTGCAACTGGCTTCATCTTCCTCCGCCTACAATAATATATTGAAACACATTGTAATGACCATAGTTAGCCTTACGTCAATCTGAAAATACATCCAAACAGCACATATTCTAAAAATATACCCAGTCTGCATCTTCCTTGTTGGGCAAGACATGATGATTTATTTAGGATAATGAGTCGTTTCGATGCAATATTGCTCAGAACGCCGTCAAACAACAAACAATGTTGATGTGTAATGAAGTCCTGCGTTATGCATGAAGACGCTTACCGAGAAAGCGAAACCATTGGACACGTGTATGGGGTCCACAGACTTCACTCGTGAAGGTCCAGGGTAGAATTGGTCTTCTTGCTTGCCGGAAGACACGACTAACAGAATCGAGTGGTCAGGTTCGCTGACTTGGTTGACACATGTCATCGTATCCCAGTTGCATAGTTCGATGTCCTTGCTGTTGATGACTGGATTGTCTGATCCATGATTTTTCCAGATCGCCGCCAAATAGTATAATGTTGCCGAGTACCGCAATAGTGCCATATATCTAGTCCTGTGTGAGTGTAATCCTCAACAACTGAAGCGTGTTACTTGGACAGGACTAGATCAGGACTAGGACTGTGTCAGAGATCTAGAATTTAAGATTCTTCTGAAATTTTCCAAGCGCAATGTATGTCCTTATGCCACGCTGTTTGTCAAGGATTCTCAAAAAAAATGAGGACCGGATGGTGAGATTAAACAGATTATCTTGCTCATGCATCCAATCACTACTTCCATGTCCGTGAAGGTACATTTAGTTAGAATGTTGCCATTGGCAGCACCTAGTTTTGCTTGCAGTAGTAACTGTATTATGTGTCTGTAAGGTTGCTATCAGCGATGCTTGCAGAAAGTGTTATCAAGTCATTTTTTTAAGAACTGTCATTTACTGTAAGCAGACAAATACTTACGTGTAGAACACATATGCCGCAAAGGCGACCAGGAGAGCCACAATGACAATCCCACAGACTACACCCACAATCACTGCAGCGTTGTTTGGACTGTCAGCTGAAATTTACACATTTGTTTTAGGAAAGAAAGAGATATATTACGTACGAAGGACTGTGATATTTCTGTAGAATTCACACGTCAAGATATACAGACACACTGCCGTGCTAGCAAACGTTTGGCAGTCATTACTGAGTGATGTCAACGTCAAGTGCATCACAAAATATACATTGACGTAGTTGCTTCTTTAAGATTAGGCGAAAACCATACTCACTCACTTTAAGATTAAGAATGTCTATGAGTCATGCATTTCGAATAGAAACATATTTTCTCACGTCTTATACATGGTTATAAGGGCATAAATGGCACAGCAGAGGCAACATATAGTCAAAGAATGACAGCCTGGGATGTATGCCTATCTCTAACATATACAGTAACTTTCTGGCCAGGTTTGACATGGGGATATTTATGGTGACCAAGAGGGAAATTACATTATTGCCTTCTGTTACGTCCGTGTAAAGGTATTGTCACCACAAACAGCATAAACATGTTTTGTACATTAAGGACAGCAATGTCCATTCTAGCATTTAAGTGGAAATATATTCTTTCACGTCGTTCACACGGTCACAAATCAAAGCATGAAATGGCACTGAGCATTGGAGAGCGGTAACATATAGTAGTATGACAGAGTTTTCTCTTCCGCAGCTCCCCACATCTGGAACAGTCTTCCCCTATCTCTCAGATCAGCACTGGCAACACAAACTTCAAATCAGCTCTAAAGTATACAGAAACTGACTATATCTGTGTTTCTGTCTTTACAACGTGTTTCTTTTAACTTTGTACAGCGCCACTGAGCACCTTAGTGATCGATTTTAGGCACTATAGAAATGAGTGAGTAAGTTAATATTTCAGCCATATCGTGACGAGGACATTTTATAAAATAACGATGAATATATTTTGAAGATTAAGGCCTGTCGACGATGGACAGTAAAACTAGTAGAGTACTATAGAAATGCATTGTTTAACATGTAGTGAGAGAATATTCTACACATTCCTTTTGATACAGGCCTATAACGTATTCTCATCTTTCACATATATGATTAGTCCTTGACAAGTTTCACAAAGGAGACGTAGGACCATGACGATCAGAATTTGTTGTCTCGGTAGGATATTAGTATATTCTAACGTACACGAGACTAGGTTTCGTTTAGCAAATATAATCTCAGTAATCATAATTTCACAGCGGGAAATAAATATAAACCTTTGCATGATTGGTATATTATTGAAAAAGTTCTACTTGTATACTGATGCAAATTCCTTTCCTTCATCTTAAACAACATAGACGTCTTTGCAGTATCAAGAGTGGTAATCGTACACAGATATACTACCAGTATAAACACCGCTAGGATGGGCGAAAAGACAGAGAGTGAAAGCATATCACCCGTGAAGTTGCTTTGGTTAGCTTAATCTGTGACAGAGCTGATCAATCAAACAAGAATATCAAACTGATTCCTCACCTTGAAACATTCCACTGGTATTTAAGTTGCTTCCATTTCCATCTGGTGCAGAGTTCTCTGGAATGATTCGGTAAAGCTTGTCTTGATATGAACGAGTCTTTACAAGTAGTACATATATTCGCACAGTACAGAAGATGAAGTTGTTTTTATGCCAATTTTTGGCATTATTTCACTTTTCAGTTGCCTACTCACATAGATATATAATCTTTAAAAAGTAGTGGAACCTGAACCTTCACAGAGTGAAAACATATCACCCATCAATTTGCTTTTGTTAGTTAAATCTGTGATAGAGCTGTGATCAAACAAACAAGAAAATCACATTAATTCCTCACCTTGAAACATTCCACTGGTATTTAAGTTGCCAATTTCATCTGGTGCAGAGTTTTCTGGAATCATTCGGTAAAGCTTATCTTGAGACGAACGAGGCATTACAGTATACCAAGTAATACATATATTCTCATAGTACAGAAGATGGAGTTGTTTTATGCCAATTTTGGCAATTTTTCACTTTACAGTTTCTCACATAGATATATGCTGTTACAAAAAGTAGCGGAAACTGAACTTTCAATTTGGATAGGAAGTAAAAGCTTATCGACACGCTAATTCAGTTGTTGTTCTTTTGCTTTAAAGAATCATCTTTATATATCTATGGGGACATGTACATGGGTAGATTATAGACAGAAGGAAGAGAAATCAAGTGTCCACCTATAATTGAGATAAATGCAACACTGAAATGTAGGATGTTAATCTCTACATATATATGTACATCAGACAAACCTGTATCTCGATATGTCCTAAAACTGTACCCTCCGTTGTATATGGTCTTGTAATAGTATCCAAGGACAGCAAAGGTAGAATTAGAACGGATGGTTGTTGTTGTGTAACTACTACCTCTCAATGTTCCCACTTTGTATCTTGTACCTGACAGATTCTTCCATGTCACCGGAGGGATGAAAACTGTAGAGCCAGTGTCATGGATTTGTTGAACGTCCACATTGTTGTTTTCTTGGTCTGTCAAAATCTGCATGGTACCTGGGGCTTCTTGCGTTGTTAACTTGGAGTAGAGGCTTACAGGGGGCACTACAACTAACCCAGCAGCACTGCCAAGGCGTTTATTAGCACACAATGTGGCCATGGCTGGTCTTGTGGTGTTGAAGTAGAACGATTCCAAATGTCCATATTCTTTGCGATACACTCCAACTTCACCCACTGATATGATATCACCGTCATCAAACATGATGCTGGTGTCACTGTGGTCAGTAACAACTTGAAGTTGGTAAGAAGAGGTCCTTGAGTATCTTCGAGAGTCATAATCATGGATAGAGAAAATATATTCATTTCCATAATGTTTCACAGGCAGTAATTGCTCGAAAGTATTAAATACGTCATACCTCTCAGTGTATGTTCCACTATAGACCGCTAGTGTCTCCGTTGACATAACGATGGTTCCTGTCATATCAGATTTACTGTTTAAGGAGAAAGTCTGATAGCTATATAAGGTGATTCTGAGAGTGTCCCCGTTGGTGTACTCCCTGCCTTTATAGGCAACGTAGCCTTCCAGTCTAAAGATGATGTCAATACCCGCCCATTTGCTGTGTGTGGCTATCAGCAAGACGGACATGTAATTCGGTGTGCGACAGGAAGACATGATGTATTTCGTGCCTAGTGCCGTCACAGGAAGGGGAGAGAACCAGGCGTAAAAGTCCAGGTTACCTTTGATCTGAACAGCATCATCTCTGACCAACACAAGCACAAGAATTACTGCGTAAGCTTGGACAATGGGGTAAAAGTAGTCTGTGTTGTATGGATTAAAGCACCGGGACCAGACCCGGAACCTAGAGTTTGGATCCTGTATCCGCCATTGACCTCCATTCTCCCAAGCACTGGCGAGTATCAGAGGATTTAATCCGTGTTTGCCCTTAGCCAGTGCCACCAAGTACGTTGGACCTGTGAGTCATAGTAATATTCATGTACTTGATATCCTGATAACTAAATTTAACAAGGTTATCACAATATCTTTCTCTGACACATAAGAATGATTGGGCCGGTTAATTCAAAGTAAAACTCACTAACAGACAATAGAAACAGAGAGCATGTCTTTGACATAGGTCAGTGAAGCCATTATCAACGTCGAAAGAACAGTGAATGTCTTATAACCTTTTGAAAATTAGTTTAGTAACGCCATGGCATGTAAGCAAATTGTTGGAAGCAATTTCAAAGTGTTACAGGTTTTAGATGTATCCAAGTTGAATTCAACCCATACGCGGAGATATGGTACTGACAAAGATGCGTCATTATCATGCTGGCAAAATAAGTTAGGGATATTGGTATTTTTATCATTATCATTTTATCAGTATGTCAATGAATAAATAGATCATTATTCATAATTGTTTTAAATTTACATATATCCCTCACTATTTTTGTCCAGTATACTTCCCACAGCGGTGCTTCAGATATCTGGATCGACCAGGAAAACATGGCACACATGTACAAACTACAGAATCAACTGGGTGTGAAATTATATTCAAGACATTATGAGCTAATAACCATAACATAATTAAGGAAACTTCCACATACCTGTATAATGTACTGGTTCATCTACAGACACTTTGTAGCCGCTGTTATAGACCGATCCGTTATAGAAGGACAGAACAGTGAAGGGGAAGTCGCTGGATATGAATGTAAATGAATGTCGTGACTGTGACTGTACCAGTGTGCCAACTTTGTAATTGCTGCCCGCTATACCTCTCCATGTCAGACGATCGTTCACGGTCGCTCTAGTGTCAGTTAGTATCTTCAGGTTTAGTCTTAGACCGTTACGATATAACCAGAGTGATCTGTGTGTGACGTACGAGTGTACAGGTGGTACAGTTGTGAAGGAACTACTGTAACCATCTGCTCGACTGAGTGTCACCAGTATCGGGCTTGTGGCGGTGAAGTGAAGACTCTCTCCCCGTTCAAGTGAGCGGTTATAGACACGACGATCGCCAGTAGAGACTGTGGCTCCAGAACTGAAGGTGATCTGCACGTGGCTGTGTTCACTGATGATCTGCAGCTCCAGTTTGGTGTCATCTACAGCAACAACATACTCCTGTCCGTAGTGCTTGATGGGCAGTAGTTGGTCATACACCGTGTAGTCAGAGGCATATTCAATACCACTATAGACAGCTACGCTGTGTTCGCTGTTAATCACCGTTCCATTCAGATCATATGGAGTGGACATCCTCAAAGTTTGATACGGATTGAGTTTAAGGGATAATACATCGCCGTCACTGTAACGGTGATTGGTAAAGTCAATACTTCCTCTGTTCATTCGAAAGAATATATCAACAGTAGTGCTCATCTTGTGTGTAGCTATTAGTAACAGGGATCGATAACCACTGACTGGGGCGAGACCTGAAGGTAAAATGTACTTCGTCCCAAGGGCAGATACTGGAAGTGGAACAAATACACCGTCAGCATCTACTACAATGTCTATCTCTTCGTCACTTGCGCTAACAACGATAACTGCATTTTCTACAGCACTCGTGATTTGCATTTTATCACCTATCAGGTGTGATCCATTCAAGAAAGGACCTAATTGACGTGATGTTCTATAAGCGAAGTGTGGATACTTGATCTCCACAAGGCCCCCAGTTTCTCCTGCTCTGTAGCTGATGTACGAGTCGTTTCCTCTATATGCCACTGCCACCAAGTAGTCTTCACCTGTAAAGTCAATTCAACACGATATTACATCCACGCACTATGGTCTTGATCGTGTTATTGCTGGACTATGATCAACTCGATGCACAAAACACAAACGACTATGTCTCCCAACATTAACGGGGTCAATAATGACACAGCTTGAATATCATCTGTCTCTGGCAAGAATCCAGAAAGTGTCAGTGGCAGTGCCAGTCAAATAATCATGTTACCCATTGCTCTAAACCACAGCGCCTTTGTCACTGCTGTAATCTTAGTGTTCCTGATAATATCCACCAGGCTCCAGCTTACATCTCAGGGCTGCAGATACTGCACTAAGCTACTCAATACGTCCCTAACACTTCCGCTTCAACCTCTGTATAGTCAGCAAGGGAGTAAGAAAGTGGAAATCTAGTGGAGACAACTTGCTTAGTCAGACCACTTGAACCTTTGGCATTTTCAAGTGCTTTCTGGTCCCTATATGTTTTATGTACACCAGAAATATGTGTAATAGATCTTGGTGGATTGACGTGTTTAGTGAATCATTGTCGTGTTGCTATAACCCATTTTTGAATTTCTGACTGTAAGTTAATTAACGTAATAGCCAATGGTTGTTACATTCCTTCAATAGCTGCACGGAGCTGTATGTGGATGCGTGATAGTAAAACATGTAAACTGTAATAAAATCAATTTTCAGGACAAGACAATAATACTCTGGTTATTGTCCTAGTAATCAAGCTACAATGATTCGTCTAATAGGCAACAAATAGTCTTTTTGAATCAGGGATCTTAATGATCATGACTTTAGGTGCACCTCAGGAGGAAGCTTTTGAAATTCAAATCAACGATTGCTCAGCACTCTGTGCAAAATAACCCAATGTTGACACAAAATATGAAGGGGTCTGGTTTACATTTCATTAAACTCGAATGTCTGTTTTATCCTAAAGTATCAACCCGTGAAGATCCGGTTTAGACTTATCTTCATCAACCCATGCTTGTCGTAAGTAGCGACAAGCGGGATCGGGTGGACAGGCTCGCTGACATGGCTGAACATGTCATCGTATCCCAATTGAGTAGATCGATGTGCATGCTGTTGATCACTGGATTGTCTGGTTCAGACTCGATTATTCACAGACCACCACCCATATAGCTAGAACCTTGCTGAGTGCGACGGTTAACAACAACCAACTCATTCCTAAAGTATCTTATCTATAATGAGTTTTAAGACGGACAGCAGGCATGTCAATGCTATGATCTTCTTAATGCTAATGTTGTTTTTTCGATTCTTCACACAAACTTTCAAACATTTTTCTTGTCCCTTTTATTGAGGTGAGGTGAGGAGAAATGGGGTTTAACGTCGCACTTAAGATTATTTCGCTCATATATGACGACGTGCATGCGTGTGTATGTGTGGCTGCCTGTACTAGTCCAGAGTGAAGCTGGTTTTATAGTGCTAGCTCACTGAGATACCATGCCGCAGTTATGCATGAATACCCCACTCAGACACAGTATACTGACAGTATACTAAGCCGATCAGTCCTTGTTGTACCCATTACTGCCGAGCGCCAAGCAGGGACCAACAAGTACCATATTTTAACGTCTTTTGGTATGACTCGGCCGGGTCCCTTTATTAAAGTCCTATAAATGTTAAAGAAGGTTTGATGTATTTTAATCGCTTGATTGCGGAGAAGTGATGTGACATTCTAGTGAGTCGGGTTTTATGCCGCTTTTAGCAATATTCCAGCAATATCACGGCGGGGTCACCAGACATGGGCTTCACACATTGTACCCATGTGGGTAATTAAGAAATTCTAGCACTGTAGGTGCATATTGATTTTAAACGTATTCAGATAAAATCCGCTAAATCGTATCTTAAACAAGTCTTGCCTGTGGTAAATTTTCTAACAGGGTACACTTTTAACAATTATAATTATAAGATATGTTTTAAAGGTGATTGTTAATAAATATTAGTTACAGTTAATCAAGTGATTGTGATGCTGACGGGTTTTGTGCGAAGATTTCAAGTTTCATCTTCTATTATGTGTCAGAAAATTTACAAGGACGAGTATGTCTTTTTCATTCTTATAAAAAACAATATTAACATATGTGTCTGCGTCTCCAGTGTCATCAGATTCATGGAGTTTGTTATGTGTGGAACTCGATGTTTAATGTAAAACTCATGGTCCAAAGTAAAGTGATCTGCCTACGGTTGTTTTTATATTGCATTGTCCAGTATTGTAATTATTGTTTTAATGGTTACATGTTAGTTTTAACTTTCTATCTGTGATAACCTTTTTTGACAGATTTTACGAAATAACCTTTACTGACTCACTCACTCACTAATGTAAAACTGATCAATTCATGAGTCTTTGGTCTTCGTTGCTAACAGTGAAAATTTCAAAAACATATTTACTTTGTTATCATATTGATGATACACAGAGATTATTAACCGAGTGTGTTTCCATATCATTGATATCATATGATAGGAATAAAAATTGTACTTATACAGTGCATCCCTGGTTACAATGCCCCTGGTTATAATGCCCCCTGGCTATAATGCCATGTTTTTGCCATAACGGATTTCCTGCCTATATAATACCCTGGTTATAATGCCAAATTGGATATAAAGCCAGTTGCCAAAGGGTTTTAGAACAAAAGTCATTTTCAAAGTCATTTTCCCCAGGTTATAATGCCAATTACACTGACTGCATGTAGGATACATACCTTAATTGGTTAATTGACATGACATTAATTGACCAAACTCATGAAAGCTTTAAGTAGTCTTGGGATAACACATGTGATAATACACTTCCTGCCACCTACAACAACAAGTCACCTGCAGCCCCTAGACGCTGGAATTATCCAGTCATTCAAGGCTCATTACAGGAGACATCAGTTCAATCACCTTGTTGATTGCATAGGGCATTGGCATTATGTAATCATAGCTTTCGGCCGTGGGAGCCGTGCCAATTAACACTTATCAGAGGGGTACACAAAGTCCACAGTCTAGACTACCAGTTGTCCGACTTCCATTTTTGTGGAAGTCGCAGTGGCTGAGCGGGCTAGGCGGCTAACTTTGTGTGCTGGCGAATAGGTGCCTGACTCTGAGGGTGTGGGTTCGAATCCCGAAAGGGACTCAACTCAAAAAGAACTAGAATTTGTACTTCACCTCCATTTTATGATAAAGTGTTTAAACGTAGATCCTGGGAGAATAACAAGTGTTACTTACCCTTGCCGGTCTGCAGCACCGTCAAAAGAACCACCAAACTGAAGCCCTTGTAAACCATCCTCTCCATGGACTGTTCCAGTTTCCTGCCAGAACAAAAAATGAAGTTCCCAGATGTTTGCTGAGATGTCTGTTGGCGAAAATCATCGCCTGAATTATCGACTCAATGGCTCTCTACAAACACCATAATTTTACATCCTTTTTCACAGGGGACTCCTTATGTCACTTAAAATAAATCACATATCAATGAGTCTTGAAATGACACTGAAGGACTAGTTTCTTGCCACTTCGTAGACGCACACAAGCTGGATCATGTCCACTGGTTTCCTGATCCAGTTGAGGGCAAAGGACTCTGCTGAAAGGTTCGTCAAAGGCTGGAATGAGTTTGAATTTCGTTACAAGCTTTGTTCACACCCAAATGATCTAACTATCTATCTAACAAATGCTAGCCTCAAAGCATATAGATTTAAAAGGACACTTCTATTCAGTATCAACAGGAACTGCCTTCGTTGAATTAGTAGCAAACTAGAACCATGTCAATTGTTTGCCCTATTGGCAAAGGTTTTGAGTTCTTGGTCTTCTCCTTTGAAATTAACCAGCAGGTTCCCACCCAGACTTGGTGCATAAACTGTGCTATTCCTTGAAAGTTTAGACAGGTCAAGAGAATGATCAAGAGAATTACGTAATTGGTAATTACTTTGGTAAGCCTTCGCACGAGCACCAACACATAAAGGAAAACCACCTTGAATTTCTTTTTCTAGATTTTCAGTATTTTTCGAAGTGGTAATCTTCTGACAAACATCAGGATAAACCAAACAACCTAAAGCGTAACTATCCCAGACACCAAATCTGTCTTCAAATTCACAAATAGGAAAGGCGCACTATTAACATCACATAAAACCTCCAACAAGTAAGTGGCAAAATAGAACACAAAAGCAGAGTTTGAAGAGAACCAATATCCTTTAGCATTGGGGAATCGACTCGTGCGTAAGTGGTTTAAACTACCCTTTCCTGATTTATAAACCCGAGCATGCCTGGCCGAAACCTCGGTCTGTCTAACATTGACACTATAAGTTGTGCCTATAAACTTCAGGAACTAATTCATAAGCCTTCAAAAACGCAATCTAATAATCAAATCAAGTCAACAGATAAGGTAAAAGAACTTCCTGAGCTTTATCCTTAAATACGTTGTGCAATAATATGATCCAATGCTCCTGTACCCATCTTTCAGTCATTTTTTCAAAATTAAAGAAAAACTGGTTCAGAGAAAGGCGGAATAAGTGTAATCTGCTTCGAAATATCAAACGATATATCAGCAGTTGCACTGACATAGACAGTGTCTTCTGAGTTTCTTTGTCAATTTGATTACTGATTGCTTAATCATTTTCCATAACCAGATTTTCTCTTTCAGAATGTCTTTGAAGCCATATCATCATGATTTTTCATAAATTTATTCAAAAGTATCACCAGCCACAATTTCTTCCTCAACCACGGGGCCGTAGTTGGCGCGATGGGCATGATGGGCGAGCTGTCTAAGGCGCCAGGCTTAAGTGGTCCAGCGAGCTTTGAGGTGCCGGGATCGAGCCAACATGTCACCGGGAGTAAAATCTTTGGAGTGCAGACTCTTTCAGTGTTGTCACAACCCCACAGTACACAACGCTGCGCGCGCGCAAGCACACACACACACACACACACACACACACACACACACACACACACACACACACACACACACACACACACACACACACACACACACACACACACACACACACACACACACACACACACACACACACACACACACACACACACACACACACACACACACACACACACACACTGGTAAATGACCAGATGGTGGCCAAATGAATACTTGAATACGTGCAAACACCTAGTACGGCAATGCGGGTACAGCAACGTGCAGTAAAACGTAGACAAAGTACTTTGACTATGTGTACCTGTCCGTCCAGCTGTGAATGGGTACCTCTAAAAAATGGGAAAGCCACATTAACTTGGTGCGCCTAGTTGTGCGCTATACGAGTTGTATGGTCCCCCGGGAGTTGAGATTGAAATACGATGTGTCGTTGAGATTGACATCAAGTACTCGAGGGAATAAAAACAAAGCGCTTTGAGCATGCGTGTAGATGGGGTGGACTATGGCGCTATATAAATACCCATATAATAATATAATCATCTCAACGTTCTTGGCATCGACCTTAATAATATCTTATTTGATGTCAAAAGTGTATTATTTGCCCGATATTAGTCAGTGGAGTTGTTAGAGTCGTCCTTTCAGTAAGCTTCTTTGCCTCCTGAAACGAGATTTCTACAAGTGATATGTTTATAGTACTTCTGTATATCATTGATGTTTTTTGTTGGTTGTGAATGCTTTTCTGGATTTGAACCAGAGAAGGAGTGTGTAAAATGATCGAAGAAACGCAGAAAAGCGTGTGTTGTTCGAACAAAAAAAAGAAGGATGACCTATTCGAGAAGAATTTTCATCAGTGTTTACTTAAAAGGTCAGACAACCAGATGCTTATAATTAGTGCAGAAGTCAGAAAAAAACTCTATTCATCGTTCAGGAACAAGTTGGACATGTCTTAGGGGAAATGGCCGATGGAGAGCTACCGTCTGGTACCTCGCAGTGTGTTTTGTTTTTCTTTCAGAAATTAATCGTGTATAAGATATAGTGTAAATCTGTAACATTAGAAAACATACCCAAATGTGTCATTTTAAAACAACAAGGGCCCTTTACCCTTTCGATATTGCAGGATTCTCAGATACAAGGATCTCATCCTATGATATTGCACAGTTTTTAACACTGTCACCAATGACACAGCAGCACTACAGCATTACCAGCAACTGGCGATTTACAGACAGACTAGTGTTTTCGCTATATTGTGCGGCTAGAAAACTGGCAACTACCGCTGCCGACCCAAATGTAGACTATGATTGGTCTTCAGCAACCCATGCTTCTTGTAAGAGGTGACTAAATGGATGAAGTGGGTCAGGCTCGCTGGCTTGGTTGACACAAGTCACAGTATCCCAATTACGTAGATTGATGCCCATTCTGTTGATCACTGGATTGTCTGGTCCAGACTCAATTATTTACAGATCACCGCCATATAGCTGGAATGTTGCTGCGTGCGGCGTTAAACAACACATCAACCAACCAACCAACGCTGCAGGGCGAATACCCATGGCAACTGATTGCCCAACGTTAGCTATTTTAGGATTCCATAAGTTGAGAAAGACCAGGATGCCTGCATGAGTGTGATTACGTTACAACAGTAATTATAGTTAGAATACTTGAAAAAATACAAATGAGGGACCTACAAGTGATGTTTGAAATGATTCACGAATTGTGTGATTCTACAGGGTCTTTTCAGATATTGTTGATCGTCTGCAAAAACAACTCACTTCCTCCTTCTCTCGCTTCTTGACACGTAAATAGCTGTCTCCGGATAGCTGGATTGGATCACGATCAACCAACCAGTATATGTGATCCATCTAACAAAAGTGTACGAATTACAGTCAGTGGCTAAAACTGAAAAAGCTGAGATCAGTATCGAAAATATTATTCATATCATTTAAGACGAGCATTTCGTCTGGTTGGGGTATATGAATCAATGCTGTTTTGATGATTTCAGAAAACTAAGGAGCTGCTACTCCAGATATAACATATATTCAAAAGATTGCTATATGTTGGATGGGCATATTACGATGAATTGAAAGCAGTTAAACCTTTCATGCTTTAATTATCAAGACCCCATCATGTATTACACTGTGTTGTCACATGAATGCAGTGAACACAAAGCACAAAAGACCAGGAAGTCTTTTTCAACACGAGTCAATTTGTATATGTCAACGGGGGATTTGCTGTCTGAGGAAACTAGCACAAGCCTTCTCTGTTCCTGAACGTTTAACCCACATATGCACAATGAGCGGAATGTACAGAATGTGAACAGACAAGAATCACTTAACGACATGTGACAAGTAATACAACCGAGAAGCTATTTGTCACAAACTTAATACGTTGTCAAGAGAGAGTGGTAGTACGCCATCTTGTGAACAAATTTCACCAGTAGAAGAAACATTGGAACATTTTCTGTTGTTTAATATTGAATTGCTGTGAACTAATTACTCAAAATAGTGATGATGAATCAGAAAATTAAACCTGCAAATGTCTCTGGTCAAATAAAGGGTACGTAGTGATCTTAAATTTACATTCGACATAGCACTGGGAAGTAATAGTATAATATATGTCAATGTGTTCCTGTCAGTTAACGGTGAACTCGTGCCTGATAAAGTGATCTGTTCTGTTCTTTTTGAATTTATCTTCCCTTCACTAATCCGCTAGGTGCGCTGAATCGGACGGTCCATCGCATGTCCTATACGCGATGGGAGCTTTACGAGTTACTATTACACTTAGAGACTGTTAACCATTATTGCCTTCACCTTCACCGGTAACGTTCACGCTGGTGCATATGGACTGTATATCTTTTCCCTTGACCAATGATATATCAAGCGTGATATCCTGAAATATCTGTTATGTGATTCCATGATACACCGGGAATAGCCATGACTGCTTATATTGCATTAATGAATAGCAAAATGGCCATTCGAAGAAAGGCGGTGGTGGAATCAGCTGATCGTTTTCAGGTCATATTTTGTCGTTTTGTTGACGTTTTGCAATCGGTAAATCAAATCTGGCACTAGATGTCTGAATATCATACTTTTAAGCCTGCAGTGTAGTTTTGCATGTACTCAAATCTATATAGTATTACGCCGATTGGGCAGCATTCAGGTAATTCAGTACGGCGGGGAGCTGATGCGGTGCGCGAATGTGAAAGTCTTATTAATGTTATGCTACATGTGAATTTCGTCGGATCGTACATAATGGAAAATTTAACAACACAAATATTTAGCAGGTATATAGAGAAGTGAGAAACAATTTTCGAGTAATTGTAAACTAACGGTAACATGCAGCCAATGTTCAAATACGATGGATAGAATGTTAAACATGGGCATAACTGAAATCTATTTTTTTATTTTTGTAAGGGTTTATGGTGCATGATATACAAAATGACTGTATAGATAAATGGTGTATATATATTGCAAATTTTATACAATGACTGCTTTTTAATTAAACATATATACTAAAATGTTTGTCTTATAATTTTGAATAGAAGGAAATAATATTAAAATATTCATTCATAAAATATAATATTCCAGACACAGTAGAAGCTATACTAGGATAATTACATATTTAAGGGCACTTTTCAAAATCCTTTCCAAAAGTGAGTGAGTGAGTTAAGATTTAACGTCACATCGGCAATTTTTCAGCCATATCGTGACGAGAATAAATTGGACATATATAAACAACATGTATATATTATAAAATCTGTCGTCAAAGGACAGTAAAACAACTACACTATCACAGACACAAAAATATAATTAGTATCTATCTCTAAAACTGGATTTCTAATTCGGACAATACAATTAAAAACGACTATAGATCGCCAACAACTGAAGGTAGATCACCATACTACATTACTTTGGCTCCCTGCATGGACCCTAGTTGGATTTACACCATTCCTTCAGCCGCTGGCGATTGTAGTTCCTTTCCAAACGGGATACGCATAGGTAATGGTAGACTGTTTGACAGTGATGGAATCGGGATGATCACGTGTACAGCAAACGAAGGAATGAATGTGGTAGATTATATCCTTTGTTTAAATCTTTACAATAAGTGGCACTGTGAAGTGTTGTCAACATCAAATGGTTTACATTTTGCTGAAGTGTGTAGATACAGCTTGCCTTCACAATAATCAGATGATTATAATAGTCATGAAAAAGCGCATATTATTATATTTTACAGACCTAGTGTTTTGTTTCATTGGAGTAAACTGATTTTTCAAATTCTAACACAATTAAATTAATAAAGTCAGTATATTTTTTCTCTTTACATCAATAGACATCTGCACTGTACAATGCTGTAATTTTATCTGATATTTTTGTCTGATGGTGCGTGTGTATTACATTACACATGCATGACTTTATTCAGTCAATGTACATAAGTATTATCTGTTACATTTGTAAAAATATTTATAAATGCATAAACATATCTACATGGAACGATTGTAGGGTTAAATTCATCAAAAACATATTTGATTTTAAACTCACTTTGTATGTTAAGTCCTAACAAACAGACATAACTGTAAATGTTTCTTTGAGAACTGTTGAATGAAAATTAGAGTATACAGCTATAGCTAGATAGTATATGGTCTGCCACATGAAATATTTTGTCAATATAACGTTACCAAAACAAGATGATACATATGCCATGTAATTCTATCCTACACATCCTCTTGGGTGGCCAGAATGATCTGTTGTTTGTTGAGACAAATCTCTGTAAATGACTACTTATTCTAAGAGCTTTAAATGGAGTTAAACGTTTGTAAGAAATGGATCAATAAATTAACATATAAAATGACTCACAGCACTGACTGATGGACACATTTTATAAGGGGTAAATCGTTTATTTCAAACTATTATGACTGGTATTTCTGCTGCAAACAACTACCTGGATAATAGGTGCGGATGGTACATTAAGTAACATGTAGCAAGTTGTCGCAGCGCACATTGAGTCTGGAACCAGACCAGAAACGAGAAGTTGGACCGTCGCTCATATCATTTCAAAAGGAGAGTTATCGCCCCTCGCAACAAAAAGATCGCCCATTTACACTAAAAAGATCACTAACATATTTTACATTGAAATATTTATCCCTTGTGATGGAAAAATCAACACAGTCAAGCAGGACATGCTTCACCGTTATTTTCTCATCACAAGGAATACAAAACGGACGATCCGCACCTTTTAATACGTATTCGTGAGTACATCTTGTTTGGTCAATGCGACATCGTCTCATAATGACGTCTGGACTAACAGCCCAAGTAGTTGTAACCGATAGTTGGCTTTATTTCATATAACTTGTTGATGCCTCCTTGGGTGTCCCACTTCTTCCGCACCAGATCACGGATGTAAGATCTAATGATAGATTTGTAATCAGAGTATGGAATAGGAAGTGGTATCACACATTCGTTGACATCAGCCATCGATTTGTATGTATAATATTTACTTCCTAATTGATTAAATACTTGTCTATATTGTAACTCATTAGTTTTTTTTTTTAATGTGGTCAATGTAAGGTCAACTTGTGGCCTCACTAATTGCCAAGGAGGAGATGAAAGCAAGCGGGAAGGAGAGATCCTCCCAATAAACAGATCACAGTACAGCTGCCAACCATTTAACGACTGAGTCAAAGTGAAAGCTGGCATATTCAAAAGAAACATATTGAACAGTTTAGAAACATGCACATCATTTTCGATCACATGCCGGTATACATATGACTAACGGATCATGATTGCTACCTACTATCTGAATATACACATCGTCAAAAGTATTGCACCGCCACATTTAAAGTGTTATTGCAAAAACATGTTGAACGCATTGTCCTCCAAAGGGACAAACATCTGCATGCAGAATCATATTCACCTTAAATGTCGCAACTTGCACGTGCGTTCACGTGATCGTTATAGACAACGGAGGGGTCACCCTGTGAATATTGAATTTTTTTCATATAACTGTGTTTGAATCTATTGTAACAGTGACATTTCATTTTTGGGATTGTAACAGTTGTTCCCTCAGCGACACAGAAGTCGATTGACGACCTAACAAGTGGGTTAATGCATCGGTATACTTGAAACTGGGTCAACACAAAGTCTCGCTGCAAACGTCTTTGGTGTTCAACAGAGCATGGCATGATACTGTCGTAAGTGGCGATTGGGCTTCAGTAAACCCTACCCCAGTTACCTACTAAGTATGGTCGTTCGATATTGTTAGGGGAGATAGTAGCTCTGGCGCTCCACTCGCTTGGTCCTTTGCAGGATGCTAAGTCACGGAGTGAGAGGTCGGACGACCGTGACTCCTAACTAGCCACGTAACATTCATGTACTGGCACACATACATTCGAAAATAAACGCAACACCAAGGTTATACTCACATGGTTTTTACTCTGTCTCAGTCCATCTCTAAATACAACTTCAACAACAGACAGGGCAGGTTCGTACCACACGGGCAACTGAGTGGCGTTGATTAGCTTCCTACATGTTGAGCTCGAACAACCCGCACACTGAGCTCGTAGTGCCAAACATGTCTTTTTAAATTCAATGGGGCGAAACTAGCCTGATTTTTGGTCACATGTTTCCACTAATCGTTTTAATTAGTTAATCCTCAATCCTACCTTGCACTCGTGTATGTCGTGATTGGATGAGTATTGTGTATTGTGATTCGATGAATATCGTGTGTCTTGATTGAATGACTGACTGAGTTAGGTTTTACGCCGCTTTTAGCAATATTCCAGCAACATCACGTCGGGGAACACCAAAATGGGCTTCACACATTGTACCCATGTGAGGAATCGAACCCGGGTCTTCGGCGTGACGAGCCAACACTTTAACCACTAGGCTACCCCACCGCCCCTCTTGATTGGATGAATATCGGGCAGCACCGTTCGGTGACTCACCTCTTTTAATTGATTTGTTATTGTTTCAATGGAAGATTAATCTGTTATGTATTTCACGACGAATGTGTTCTGTCTCTGTTTCCATAGCCAACGGCTAAACGCCATTCTATAGAGACTTTCTGTCTCCATACCGTGTCTAACCGTTATGACTCATGAGCAAAACTGCAAATCTTAATACGGAATGTGATGTAATTCTCTCATGGTTTTAGGGATGCATTTTACCTTATAACAATACCAGACGTTTGGGTCGTTTATATAATCAGAATTTACTGTTTCAGACATGAAAACGATACGTATTGCGATACGCTGATCGAAAACCGGTATTTTAACTTGCATTCGGAAAACTTCGTAACGCTCGGAAATCTTCGGATATTTCCTTCTTTCATTTGTGCCAAATATTAGTTTCATTTTTATTTTGTCATGATTAAAAGTTTTTATTAAAGCTTAATCAAACATTGTGATTTTGTTGTGTTCATGCTTTATAAATCAAGCATAAACTTGATTATACGTAGTTTTTTGGTTAAAAATACTTCTTGCAATATATTGCAATACATATCGCAATATATGCTTTCGCATCGCAATATATCGCAATATGAAAATTCTCTGCAATACCCACCCCTAATTCGCCTACCTACCGACATACAGGTGGCTCTGGAGGAGGCTCAATCTCGATCCGAAGTGGTAGAGCTGGAAGAACCGATCTCCATGTTCTAACGCGGGTCACAAACCGAAACATGAATCTCATAATAAGCCGATCCGAGTGAGTGAGTTAATATTTAACGTCACATCGGCAATATCTCAGCCATATCGTGACGAAAACAATTTATACAATACAAAAATGAAAACAATGTGAAGAGTTAAACCTGTCGACGAAGCACAGTAAAAATACTAGAGTATCACAGATATGAACATAAAACTAGCTTGTAAAACTAAAACATTGTAATTAAAGAAGACAATACAATATAAAACACGGGCTATATAGATCGCCAACAACTGAAAGTAGATCACCATACTAGGGTCTAGCCGATCCGAATTTTCTCGAGTGAAAGTGAAAAGAGACACTACAAACACCTATTGTTACACTGAATTCCAATTCCTTTTTTCATAAGGAAATGGTATTTATAAATGAATTTTGATTTTAAACTTAAATAAAATCGTATTTCTATATTTTATGGCGAGGTTTAGGCAGCATGACCTTAACTAAGACGTCACAGACTGCCGCTGTTTGATGAGGTCGTAAAATGATTCACAATCCATCTGGCTCACTGGTTACACCTGTTTTGTGTTTTTTGCGCTTGTTCAATGTATTAGTGTAACGCACAATGTGATTGATATAATATGAAGTCCGTACCAGAACGCCAAACTTTTTTTTCTAGCGGCCGAGCCTCGTTTTAGAGATTTCGACGATTTCCAGATCTCCGTTTGTCACAGCACGCTGTACGAATTAGCACGCTGCACGACGTGTCTTGCAAGGATTAGAAGGAGCGTAGCGTTGCAATATACAAGTGCTTAGATGTATCGAATAATACTGATTAATATGTATATATCCAGTTGAATGAATTGATCTCAGAATAGAATTCTGGACTGGTTATTGGACTAAGTTGCGCAGTAGGACGGAACCCAGTCAGCAGGAAACGAGACTGTTGTGTAATCAATGTGCTGACTTGCAATGTCAGGACAGACCTGGAACGAGCTAGAGATCGCCCTCTCACGAAGTCCTATTACGAAGCAACTCGACATGTACAGAGCTGGTTTACCGATCTCCATGTCTCATAAAGGTCCGTTCGTCCGACAAGACTACAGAAACACGAGAGAGGAACAATTCTCCCATTCAGACGTGAATTATGGGATTGTCAACGCGTGGTGTACGCGTCGACTGGGGTATTAGCTCATATTTTAAGATGAAGTGTGCGTTGATGAAGACGAAGGCATAGTTGAGTTCAAACTTTTTAGTACATGACAAACAAATGCACAAGAAATACATGTGGGAGAGCGGAGTACCTGCTCAACCACAGGGCGTTTCCAACGAGCGGCTTATCCTGCTCGTGGTCGTTCAACAGACAGTCCAAATACCGGACTCGTACTCCTTCGCTGTCTAGATGTGAGCATACCTAGTATATATATATACAGCTTTTGACAACAATGGTCAGGCGACGACTCATCAATGGACAGAAAGAAAAACAATAGTACTTCCTTGACCAGTAGATGTGATGGCAGACACGGCCAAGGGGGATTACCAATGGAGGTTATAAATGTCTTATACAATAATTAATGGGCTGACAAGTCAATTTACAATGCGGTAGTGATAAGGATGTACAGTAGTGATTAAAAATACAGCTTAGCGTCATTTATATATTACAATAAAGTCTCACATGTCTTGAGTACATAGTTTTGGACTTTTTAAATATTTGGACGATGGCTGTCCTAAATTAGTCACTATAACAGGATCATGAAACAATGGTGCCAGGCCAGATCACTTACATGATTTTGTGATTTCTTGAAAGATGGTATATTTTAGACATTTCGGTCAGTGTATGATACTACATTTGACGTGTCACACTTTGACTTATTTCTGAATTAAATGAGCCTATTCCTCAATTCGGATCATTAATACATCTCATGTCTGTACACTCAAACTAAGTTTAAAAAGATATTAGCTGGTGTCAGATTCTTACACAAGGGTGATGTGTCTTCCAGTTTTTGCAGCAACAGCAGTTTATGACTATAGTGAAACACCTGCAAGTGTTTTGGATCACTCACTCACTCTAAAGAAATACACAAAATAATTGGAAGCCATCGTTGCTGTCTTCACTCTGGAAGTTTTGTATCGAGATATTTACCAAGGATCCTGGCATGATTCAATTTTACACAGGAAATGTGGAAGCTTTATTGCTATTAACAATTAGCATTACAGTGGAGATCATGGCAAGATGGTGTCAAGATTCAGAGGCAGAGAGAGGACAAAATTACCCAGTGACTTCTCGACTACTGATGCAGGGACGGGGCGCGACTTCTGACTGTAGACTTCTTTGTATTGGTTGTGTTGACATCGCGGTTAACTAGCTTGTTCCGCTTCAGCGGGAGCCGTATAGCGAGACTGGCTTTAACGTTTTAATAGCCGCGAAGTGAGAAAGGAGTATAGTGACTACTTTAACAATGTACTGTGACGTGGTAGCTTTAACAAGATGAGACGAGTTTATCGTAAATGACAGTGAAGTGTCCCTCATTTGAAACTTCTAATTTCTTCACATATTTATGAGAGTTATTAAAACGAAAACGGAAACTTACATGTCAAGGCTTCCATGGCTGCGATATCAGAGCCCAGGAAGGTTCGGCGAAATGCGTTCGGCGTAATACCTGCAGTTATGCAGCTTGTCCGGCTCCTACCCATCTTGCCTTGTCACAGCATTACCACTGGTGAAATATTAAAATTCCTTGACGCTAACAGCACCTCCCATTCAAATGACATTTGGTGTCACATAAAGTGATATGATGTTGACTCGTCGCTCGCACATGCGTCTCGCCTCAGTGAGCCTAAATGTTGCGTAATGTGTAGACGTCACGTTTATGTACTGCACTAGTTGTGAAGACAACAGCGTGTATACATCTGGTAGTATTGAGGCAGTACATTAGCGATGTGCCGAAGGAAGGCGAACGGGGAGTAAAATTGCAAGGTTACGTTCTTGTTCGGGAACACCGTTCATTCATCGCCGCTCTTTTTCCTTTTTCATTTAGACCACTGATATCACTTCGGACAAATAAATCCGTAGATTCTTTAGATGGATGTCAGGCAGATTTTGTGCTAACTTTATGATTCATTTTCCCGAAAAGAGATCTACCAGCAGGTGGCTATTTAGATGTTATGGTGTCATTTAAATATGTATCAGAATACACAGACAGATCTGATTCATTTCATGCATATTCAGAGGACAATTACATCATATGGGATGAAACGAGATAAAAAGAAAATAGAATCTACTACAATGTGAGAAAATAATATTGCAGAGGATATTAGAATTATTGTTAGAATTATTTATTATCTATACCTCTCATAATTGAAGTTTATTTAACAAAGATCGAAAAATACCATTTTCAGGGAAACGCTTACCATTCACGGAGAATCGTTTACCGTGCAGCTTCACTGTAAACAAGAAAAGCAAGATTTATGGAAGTCAACTTCTTTATTGTGACTTTTCGGAGTGTATGCTTGCTCCTTCCACAGGGGCTTGTAACGCTAAACACTGCCATCAGGGTATATACTGTCACAGACGGGGTCTTAGTACTATATAAAAGGAAATGGATGAAACGAGGTCAACACACCAAGTTCGTTTCAGGGCGAATTCATCAATGCTCACTGTATTTATCCCATTTGAAGTATGCACCCATTTCAAGCTAATAGATTTACCTACAAAATGAGACATACAGCACAAGAATCGAAGCGGTACTTTGGGAGCTAGGGTCTTCGGAGGCTCGAAAAATCGTGATTTCTCGATTCCGAGCCAAAATCCCTGCTCAGAATTTGTAGGGGTAACTCACCCATTTTCTTGTTTATTTCACAGAATACACATACGACATACACCTTAACCTGCCCCGCACTTAAAAGAGCAAGGGAGCTCATTGGTTAAAAATAAAATATGTCCCATCAAATCGCTGACTCTTTTCAGTGCGGGGCAGGTTAAGGCCAAGGTTGTCAATGGTGAACGGCACGACACAATTCTGTTTGCGATGAATAAATGTACGTAAACTCATTATGACAGTGAGATGTAAGTGTCTCCAAGTGTCTTCTTGTAGTGAGTGACTATGGTTTTACGCCGCTTTTAGCAATATTCCAGAAATATCGCGGCGGGGGACGCCAGAAATGAGCTTCAGACATCGTGCCCATGTGGGGAATCGACCCCGAGTCTTCGGCGAACGCTTCAACCACTAAGCTACCCTATCGCCCCTTCTTGGAAGAAGTTGGCGGTAACGCAACAGTCTGAAATTGGGAAAGAGGAGGACCTGCCCGTTTTCACATTTTGTGCAAATGCCAGTTTTAAAACACATTACATTTATGCCCATTTAACCATGGCCGTTTTAAAAACGAACTCGTCTGTGAAAGGGGCAGTAGGTGTCTTAATTAGTGGATTTTCATAACATTGTGACGTAATAAAACAAACAACTATAGTCTGTCATTACATTTTTTACGAGGGGGGACCTCTTGCTGGTAGAACAGCCGGATAATCAACACGCGTGTGCAGTGAAATTTCAATTTCAAACGTGCAACTCGCACACCTGCTGTTCTACCAGTAAGTGGTACCCCCTCGTAATAAATAGTGAAAAATGACACCAAAATAATGATTGTTTGTTAAACAACTTTGTTATTCGGGTGTCCAAAATTATGAGACAAATCATCAGAGATGGTCTGTCAATTTCATGTGGCTGTGCAAAATTTGGTTTTGTTGCAGTTATTACATTTTGTGTTAGTGAGCAATTCATCGGCCTCAAATGAAATCAAACAGACTGTAGTTGTTCAATGCAATGTAAATAAGTGTTTCGCAACACGACAGACACCACTGTACTGTATTGTGTGCTGTGGTACTCTACTACCTGCCAACACTACATTGAATGTCCTGACCTACTTATTTTCTTGGAAGTAGTTGTTGACGGTTACATGGCTGATTGAAGAAGGTTGACCTGCCAAAGTTTACGTGTTGTATAAGATTGAAATCTGAAGTAACAATG